CCTTATTTACCTCCATATGCCAACAAGAAATCTTTCTTATCTTTCTTTGATGTTATATTTATCATTATTAGATATGCAGTGTTTCAGGACTTGATTGCTGCCCAAACAGACATTAGCAGTGGACACCAAGAACTATTTTATGACTATGAATGTTTCTGTCCTGATGCTCTTGCCCAGTGTTTTACTTATCCCAGAACTACTGAAGAAAATGCTATGATTTTGTTCAGAAAAGATGTTGTGGAATTTCCAGCAGCCATAGCACCCATTATTCGTAAGAACCTTGAATTGTTCATTGATTGTGTGTTGCTAGCTGCTTAGGCTATATTTTTGACATTAATTGATCTATTTCTGTCAAACATGGTACAAAATGATACAAAACACTGGTTAATTTCTCTTGTCTGCTGACCTCAGAAAAAATATTGTGGCATTATATATAATGATTCTATTCTATTCTATTCTATTCTATTCTATTCTATTCTATTCTATTCTATTCTATTCTATTCTATTCTATTCTATTCTATTCTATTCTATAATTAAGGATTCTATTCTTCTTATATATAATGATTTGATGATGTTATGAACTGATATCACTTGTTGATTATGAAATAGGCTTGTTAGTGTAAACATGTGTCATATAATGTCTAATTTAGGACACCTGTTTATTTTAAATCATGATTTTTGAGGTTCATATCACAAATTTCATGAAAACTAGAAATACTTCAACATAAACCATCATCTTTATTGTTGCAAAAAACAAAGAATCACATCTAATTTCATACCACAGCAGAATAGAGAAGCGTGTTAATATTCACACTGTACACATGTACATGCAAGGTTTTGGGAAATTACATAAACTATTAAAAAATATGTCAAAGCTACTCGTCTACTTAATTTAATTTACTAAAGTACTTGTGTACTTTCACCTATACTATTAAGTGTTATAATATATACCTGTACCTCCCCAGGTTATTTCTTCTTTATTCCATTATGACTGTGACCTCTGTACACAGAAGCCATTAAGTCCTAACTAGACTTCTTTTGAGTACCATTCAGCTAAACATTCTTAGATCCAAGCAGGATTTACATCTGACACTTTTGTTTTAATTAATAATCTGCATAATGTATTTTTGGGAAGTTAATACCGTATTTATCCGGGTATATGCCCAGGGTCCTGAACATAAAAAATTGCCAAAAAGAAGGGGTTGGCGTTTGGCCGGATATCCCCCGCAAAAAAAACCGAAAAATCGTGAAAATTGGCAACACGCAGATTCACTACGTTCAATTACCCACCATAGACTCCGGTTAGTCAAAATGACTATTTTGAACTGTAGGCGTTAATCAGCGATTCTGCCGGTGACGGAGAGATAGAATCTAGGTCAGGGGAAGCCCCATGACCCCAAGATTCTTTTACCACTTACGTCATGAACCCACGTGACCGAAGCCACCTGGCAGCGCCACAGGTAGCCGTCCATCACTCTTATTTTTTCTCCGCCTCGAGTGGAGATGAAATCTGCTGGATAGCCTGCTTTTTTTTTCCTGTCCGGGTTTCTACCTTGGGTTGTTGCCGCTGCATGGCATCCGACATTGTAGCTGGTAGGATAAGTTTTCCTTGTCATTTTTACCCTCGTATTGTTTTCCCTTTTGTGTGTAGTAGTTTTCACAACAAAGAAATTAAAACCCGGTGCCTCTACGTAACCACTGGTGGGTTTCCTGGTGGCACCTTTTACAACTGTATTTCGTTTTTTTCCCTCATGCATGTCGTCTTTTATTTACAATGTATTTAGCAATGTATAGATGTAATGACAGCACCAGGGCTCGCTGTCGTTTTTCTCCTCGTGTTTCGAGTCGACCGTGCAGTGGTTATATTCAGAATTTACCAGCATAGAACCCGCATCCGAGATACTTTGTTGTAGCTACGTACAGAATTCAGGGTTTTTGCGTGAAGGTGTGTTTTTTTACTGGAGTCCTGAGGCCTGAGATTTTCTTTCAGAGCCATCAAAATCGCTGAGACTGACCGCGTCACAGCAAGGTCGCGCGTCCAGTAAACAAATCGGTTAAAGTGAGTTGCATGCTTTGCATGAGTGGAAAGTCCTCACGCTCGGCTACTGGTACTTCTTGTACCGGGACGTCGAGTAAGAGGCCCGACGGTGGAGGTACCGATATTTTTCTCAGTCTCCCCCGCTGATCGGAGGGCATCCTCACAGTCTGTTTTTTCAGGCTGTGTTTTACCCGATTTTACCGGCTGCAGCGAGGCTGTGCCCCTGGAGGCTTTCCTTCTATGGGGGTGGGCACAGGCACGTGTTTGGTGAGTGGCCAGGTCACAACTTAGTGACTACTTCAGGCCTTGGGGAACTCACCTCATGGGGGAAGGGAGCACCCCCTTCCTCGCAACTGCCGAACACATGGCCACATATCCCTGTCGTACACAGATTGCGCCGGTGTAGTCGGGTTTGGAGACAGCGGGTGACCGATCCCTGGACCTTTCCAGGTGGTGACATTCTGTTACGGGATACTGCTGAAATCTCCATTTCCCCCCATCAGTGTCTCCCCTGTTGGGCACTGCCAGGGGACAGCAATCAGACAGGAAGTAGCAGTTTGCTGGAAAAGGACACCATACACAGGGTACATCAGCCGGAACTAAGTCCAGGCTTCGACCCAAATATGTTCGTAGTACCAAATCTACAAGTGGCAGGCGCCCAGTTCTGGACCTAGGCAGACTGAATCAGTACGTGCTCCTCGATCGGTTCCACATAGAGACACCATTCAGGGTTCTTCTCTCCATCCACCGTTTTGACTGGCTAGCCCCACTAGACTTAAGCGGGGCCTACCTGCACGTACCGATGCGAGTTGCCATCTCCTTCGAATCGCCCAGCTGGGCCAAGTATTCGAATTTTGGGTGCCCCCCCGTTCGGGTTAGGCACAGCGCCCTGCTAAGCAGCCTAGCCGAATGCCTAGTCAGCGTTCCCTCAGTGTCCCTCTGTGAACTAATGCGGATCATCGGAATGATGACCTCGGTTCGAAGGGTCGTTCCCCAGGCTGCACTACGTAGCCGCACGGTATAACGCTTGTTATAACGCTGAGCTTCTCTATGAGAACTAGATAGGCGATCGATCTTGGACCAAGTGAAGGAAGCCCTGCCCTGGTGGTCGTCACTGGCCAACCTCGGGCAGAGGGCCCCCCCTTGGACCCGCTCGCCGCTGGTATGACTCTGGTAACAGATGCCTCCCCCCGGGGTTGGGAAGCGCATCTATTGGACGAACAAGCCCAAGGATATGACTCCTCAAGGATATGGTGTCCTTCAAGAAGGAGGAGAGGACGCATTCCCCATCGTTGTCAGTCCTAGCGGAGCAAAATCCTCCTTTGGTGCCTGGAATATGTGGAGCTAACCGCACACCACCTTCCAGGGGTGAGGAACAGTCTGGCGACGCCCTTTCAGGACGACTCCGTCTCCAGAACACGGAGTGGCTGATACCCCAGTGGGTAGCCTCCAGGCTGTTTTGGCTGTGGACGGTCCAAGGTTAGGCCGGTTTGCCGCACCCCGGAACACCAAGCTCCTGACGTACGTAACACTACTGCTGACTCCAGGAGCCTGGGCCAGGGTCACTTTGCTACCCCGCGGACCCACTTAGTTGTGTATGCCTTTCCTCTCTTCTCGCTAGTTCATCGGGCACCGGAGAAAACTTCGACAGGTGCACACCTGCATATTATCATTGGTCACACCCAATTGGCCAAGCAGGGCCTAGTTTCCACTTCTGTCGGAAACGATAGTCGAAACACCAGCAGTGCTTTCGGACTTACCGGACCTGCCATCCCAACCAGACGGCGCACTACCAACGAGCCCAGCGGGTATCACTTACACGCATAGATGCTCTCATTAGACCCGCACATATGATACGGTAGTTTTATCTGAGGGATTCCACCAATGCAGCCTACATTTCTAGGCTGTGAGCATACACTGGTTAGTGTAGCGGAAGGGAGATTGATCGATACCTTCCCTCTATTGGCCAGGTAGCAGGCTCCTTCGTCCACCTGTTTGACGATGTGGGTTTGTCCTACGCAGCGATCGTTGGCTACAGGTCGGCCTTGTTCCCCACCATTCAAACGTACGGGAACAAGACTAATCGATTGTCCTATTATTAGGAGACTATTTACTGCTTTCCAGATGCTGAGACCCCATACAAGGGAACCGCCCAACTGGGACTTGTCGGCTGTGTTGTCCGCTCTAAGCAGACCGCCCTTTGAGCTTCTCCGATCAGCGCCACTCAAATTTGTGATGTGGAAAATAGTCTTCCTACTGGTCCTCGCCTCAGGTAGGCGTCGGCCAGAGCTGGGGGTATTGTCCTTCTCGAATGATGTACTGCCATTATGGACAATCAAGTTGTGCTAAAGACACAAATCTGGTTTCTCGCCTAGATCCAAATCCCAGGACACGATCCTCATCCAATCGTCATCCCCCGGCAGTCAAATTTTGTCTGCCCGGAGGGTCAGGAGGAATTATTGCTTCTCTACCCGGTTTGAGCACGGAGTTACCACCAAACCGTACTAGGATTTGGAACGGGGTGCCAGGCACACATCTTTGTGTTATGGCCCAGGCAGGCAGGATAGGCCGGCCTCCCCAGGTAGTTTACTGCGACTGTATTAGAGGTCTAATACTTTATATTTCTCGACACGGAGCTCGCAGAGACACCAAGTAAGAGCACATGAGGTCTGTGCGATGGCTAACTCGCTCGTGCTAGCATCAGCCCCCCCCCCCCCCCTAAGCACACATGGAGGGCAGGCTTCTGGAGAACGCAGAACGTCTTTATCAACTACCATCTAGGAGACACTGAATCCATTGATAAAAGTTTCTCTAGGTTGGGTCCCATCGTAGCGGGTCAGTCTTGGTTTGCTGACCCAGCCCGAACGGGTGCCTGCGCATAGGCAATAAGTCAGTCAGATTTCTCTACCATCAGCACTCCCCTGGGAGCTCCCAGGTCCCACTTTACGGACTATGCCCTCATGCAGAACTGTTTCGGTCTTTACTTCGAAGCTTACTACCCCCTATAATTTGGTTGGGATCTAGCTTTCTCGGGCACACCGAAACCTGTCACCGTAGCAGCTTTTTGGCTCCTTGCTCCGGGGACAGCACAGGCAAGGTAAGACACCACCCTTTTTTGGGTCTTAACTAGGGTGTTGAGTTTGTTTTTATCCCGGACTGGGAAAAGAGTTTCATCCTTTTTTTCTGTTTGCTTGGAAAAACCTGTCACCTATCGGTGTCTGACTCTGCCTACAGTTCAAAATGGTCATTTTGATTGACCGGAGTCTATGGTGGGTAATTGAACGTAGTGAATTTAGGCG